TATATAAACATAATTGTACTCGTGCACATAATACATTGCTTTAGACGAGGGTACTCAAATCTAAAAAATAATTACATGCAACAAAAACCGCGTTATGGAATACTCCCATTTATATAAACAGTAGAATTAATATCTAAAATATAATATTATTGGGTTAATTAATATATTGTCTAAATAATAGATTCTGTCAGTTCCCTATTTAGGGATAAGGTGCTAAATTAATAACACGTCAGGTTAATAAAATAATATATTTAAAAAAAATGCACATAGATTCAATTTTGACCCGACCCTTAACCTACATTTGAAAAACACAATTGCAGGCCGGTTCTATCTTGACGACTCACGGTTTCCGTTGGATAAGTTTACGATTCTGATCCACCGATTTCATAGTCCGGTTACTACTAATTTAGTTTTTTTTTTTTAAATATTCAAATTTATTGGCGGGAAACCTTCATTAAGAAGCAGTAATGGCTGTAATGAGAGTAGTGAAACATTACCATTTATCACTCAAATTAAAAGACAAGTACATGCCTATTTCATAAGTGTACATATTTATTGATCAAACAATAACCTATTTCACGTGCTTACACGTTATAATATATATATATATAACGAAGCTGTTACTATTTTTTTTATGAATTTAGTGGTTTAATTTGACTTTAAAATATTAAATTTTAAATTTTTATATTATTTTTATTATGTAGATATATATATTTTATTATTTTTAATAGTTGGTTAAATATTATACGATACGATACTATAACGATACGATACGATACATGGAGGAAAACGATACGCCGATATTTTTCGATTCGATAACCATGCATGAGCTATATATAACGGGCCCCGATCGCGATACTTGGACCCTTGGAGGTCCAGACCATAATAGTTTTTTTATAATATAAATATATAATAATTAATAGAAAACTCATTGTCAATATATAAAAGGTTAAAAAGATTAATAATAAATGTTAGAGAAGTATGTATAATGCTTACTACTAATTTACGGAGAAATAATTCAAAATACACTTGATATTTAATTAAAATAATACTTCAAGTAATAATAAAATATAAAAAATATTTATGATGGAATTCATTTTTTATTGAGGGTATAAATGTCCTTGTGATATAATTTTAATGGTGATAAAACTACATTAGTACAGGGAGGTATATGATACAAAGTCCATAATACATGGGTGTTTTTGTATTTAACCCTTTTATTTATTTAACTTTAAATGATTAGTGTGTTCTAGTTTTTTTTTTTAAACAAGACACGCTTATTGACATTCTTAATACTTTTACAAAGTTGAAAAACGACAATTAAAATGGAACTGAGGAATATAACGTATATCCGATTACAAATGCATATAATTAAATTAATTATTGGTAAAATTAAATTAATTACGGTGGGCAGTTTGTGCAAACATCCCTAAAGGAGCATTGATGGAATCACTGCACCATTCGTCACAATGTACAGAACATGATTCCATGCTTACGTAATAAATAAATAAATATAATTATTATATGTATATTAAGATATTGCATCATGCATTTATGTAACTACCCAACACTGTTATTTAATTTTTTGCCTCCCCAACTTTATTATATTTCTGTTGTGGTACAGTTTGTTACCACAAACATTTTCTTCGCCCCAAAAAATAAAAAAGAAATACACAAAGAAGATCAAAAGTTGATATACTAATACTTGGGTTCGGATCTTTTATTCAAAAATTAGTGGCTAATACCGAATTAAGATTAAATATACGCTAAGCAATTCATATTATGGATCTTGAATCTAATACCTACAAAATCTTGGATATACTATTTTTCTTTTAATTGAAACGTTTAATTCTATGCTACAGTCGGTGATTTTTTTATCGTTGATCTACACACACCAATGTGGATGTGTGTGTGTGTGTGTGTGTGTTTATGAATGCTAAATATTTACCCAATATATTTCATCCGGTGTAGCATAGATTATATCGAAGAGAACCAATAGACATTAATTAATATTTAACGTTTCTAAACTCGCATCGTCGAATAAAAAATAAAATAAAAATAAATAGTTAGGGGAAAATATTTTCATTTAATGGAGGATGATCCACATGGTTTTATAATCTATACCTAGAAATTTGGCTGTTTGTGTAGAATGAACAGTGACCACCTTCTTAAATACGAATCACCAAATAAATTTTCATACAACTGTATAAATATTATATATACACAATAGTAAAATACATATAAAAAAGAAAAAAAGAAAAAGAAAACCTATGTAATTTAATTTAATTAAAAATGTACTTAATAATATACAAAACTTTGTATTAAAAAAAAGGGCTTGACTTGACTCCATCTTTGGACTTACCTTGTAACCACGATATATGGGCATAATTAATTAAACTAATTAATATGGTCCCATCCTTAATTATTGTTAATTATTATTAAAGTGAGTTCGTAGTATAGGGTGTTAATTAGAAACATGTGATGAGGGGCAAAGATCTCTGTAAACTACATTCTTTATTATTTTTCCAATTCTTGTGACGTTTATGTAATTTTTTTTTTCTTTTCTTTTTTTTTTTTTTTAAATTTTCATATCACAACTTTAGGCGTCGAAAAAATACTCGAATTTAATAATAAAAAAAAAAGGGAAAGTGACGAAGTCGATCGACTCAATTAAGGATTTATAATTCACTTTTCCACGTAAAATTGACGTCCTTGTCGGGGTTTTTTTTTTTTCCTGCAAAATAATCAATCGAGCTCATTATTAAGAATGCGAAAATTCGTCACGTCGTATAAATATATGAAAGACTTAGTGATGAATAATTGTCACTTTCACGGCATTGAATAATGAGCTAGTGTATGTTCGTTAATAACGATTATTTTCATAATTAATTAATGCAATGATAATTAATAAGTTTACGAATGATAATTAGTATTAGAACTCAATGAAATAATACTTGATATTTTAACTCAAAAGTCAAAACATAAGAGAAAGGAAAAGAAGGTAGCTATTTTAACCGGCTCTTCTTTAATGTATTTCCTACCAAAGAGATTTTCATTTATTTTGTTATTACTCTATGTCTTCATTTTTCTTTTTCTTTTTTTTAATTATATATATATTATTTTGAATTATATTTTTATCAATGGGAAGGGCTTCTACTACAATAAATATATACAGTATCAGATATTGTCATTTTAAGCATTTTGTGTTTATTTTGTCATAAATAATTTATTTTATTAATTCTTATTTTTTGAGTGTCATTATCCTAAATTAGTGATTGACAAACTTGATACTAGAAAATATACTGTCACTCATATATTATATTATACTTACATAATATGGTAATATTTTATACTTTATTCTAGAAAATATATTGTTATGAAAATTATTAATAAATATTAGGGTAGATTACGATCATCCCCTCGGGTAAGGTCAAATTGTGAAACAATCCATCATGTTTGTGTAATTGCAATGACCTTCATCAACTATAAATCTTCTTACAGTGACACCCACGGTGTCAAATTTAGTGGAACCTTCTAGAATATATGGAATATACTAAAAATTGTACTCGTTTTATCCCATTCATCTCCATATATTTGAAACAAAGGTGTTCACAAGATGTGTCTCTTGACTTGTAAATATCAGATTGTGGTGCATCAAAAACTGCATTTTTACACAAACGAGTACAAACTACAGAACATTTCCACGTAATTTAGAAGATTCTGTTGAATTTGACAACATAAGAGTGGACATGTAAGAAAATTCATAGTTCAACAATTGGTTGTAATTACGCAAACATGAAGGGGGTTTTCGTAATATCATCTTTACCTCATGGTTTTACCGTAATTTACCCTAAATACTATTACTAGAAAGTTTATCATTGTAGTGTTCATTGATTCTTGAGAAGCTTTACTTGCTCAAACAAAAACTCACATGTCCAAGAACAATAAAAATAATATTGGAAATTGTTTTTTTTTTTTTTTGTAAATTATAATTTTGAGATATAATAAATTTAAATAACAAGGACACAATTACACAAATAATCAAAACATTGTCTAAAAAAAGCCGGAGAAAAGAGCAGCTTTTCTTTGCAAGTCGAAGGTCAACTCAAGAAAACCCCCTAAAAGCCAAAAGCCAGAAGCCAAAAGCATGAAAAGTAGAACAACTTTTTCAATCTTTCAATATCAAAGAATGGGATCTATAGGAAAAAAATCAAAATCTTTTTCACTGAATCAAATCCTCAGAATTTGCGGCCGCCACAACAAATGGGGGCCGGCCCCCCCACCCTAAATTCTCATAAATTAAAACACAATTTCTATTTCTCCATGCACAATTAAAAATCAAGAAAATAATAATTAATTTCAACAATAAATAATAACATATTTTTTATTAGATACACATCAACTTAGTACACACTAGTAAATTAAATTAAAATTGCAAAAAAAAAAAACATAATTAATTTCTCAAAATATATAAAATTAAAGATAACATTTGTTAGATAATCTTAGAAATTAAGAGAAACTAAATTAATTTAAACATGGAAATTGAATTAAAAAAAAAAAAAAAAAAAAGATAGGTGATCAAGCATTCTGCACTTTGGCTGAAAATAAATTTAATGCTTCCTGGTAGTGGAAAATGTCACCGAATATTCCATTTGGTGCATTAGCCCCCGCCGTAGGGAAACTCATGTGATCACTGCAGTGCGGTTCGGTGCAGTTCCTTTCAGTACCAGAGAAAGCGCTACTCGAATAATTCAAATTCTCGTACTGTGGATGCTGAACTCTTTGATAATAACCGTCAACTGGAAACCCTAAAAACCCGTTGTCTGAATTCGAATATTTAACATAGTTCTCGTCGTTTTCCTGCTTGATAGATAACGGCAACGATGCAAATGGCTTTATGCAAGACGGCTGTAGTGGCTCGGATTTTGTAGCCCGGCGGCTGGCTGCGCCTGCCGCCTGCCGTTGGTACTTTGGCTTTGGGGAAGAACCCGTGAATAACTTCTTGGAGCAAACCTGAGTCAGACCTCTCTGTCGGGAAAAATTCCATGGAGTCGTCGTCGGCGAAAGGGGCGGCGGAGATGGGATTATCGAATCCGACGTCAGAAACTATTGTGGAGTCTACTGTGGCGGCGCGTGGGGTTAAGGAAGAGGAGCCCATGAAATCATTTGGAGTTGCGGGAAAATTGAGTGGGATTTGATCGTAGTTGAAAGAAGAGGGTTCGGAGAATTTGGTGGTGGTGGTGGAATTTAAGTAGTCGCGGAGGAGAAGCATGTTGATGGAGTTGCTGCCGCTCCGGTAAGAAGGCCCGTTGAAATCAAGATTAGGGTTTGCGAAGGAAGACGGCGGAGCGAAGCTGTGGCGGTGGTGGTTGCCGCCGCCCAGGATGGACGGCTGTGACGATGATTTGGCGTAGGTGACGAACGAAGGGAGGAGATTCTCGGCCGCGGTAGGGTAAAGGTGGTGGTGGTGGTGAGGCGGAGGAGGGGAGGTGGGGTAGACGAAGTTGGTCCTGGCTTTGACGCCGCGCATGGCACGGGCGGCGCAGTCGTAGGCGCAGGCGGCCTCCTCCGCCGTGTCGAAGGTGCCGAGCCAGCGCCTCTCCTTGGACTGGGGGTCTCTTATCTCGGCGGCGTAGCGGCCCCAGGGACGGCGGCGGACGCCGCGGTACCTCATGGTGCCGGCGGAGGAGGGGGCGGGGGGGCCGTCTTTGAGGGACCTCTTGGTGGCGGCGGAGCAGCGTTTGGGGACGGCGGTGGGAGGGAGGAGAGGGTCGGAATCTCTGGTGAGGGAGCCGTTGAGGCGCCGGAGGGCTTCTTCCATTGTTTGTTGATTTTAAGAGAGAGAAAGTAAGAGAGAGATGAGGGTTTACTGTTTAGAGAGAGAGAAAAAAATGATTGTAATAATAAGACTAAAGTTTCAGTAGCGGAGGGTGTGAGTGTGTATTGCGAGAGTTAGCACCTGAAACCGTGTGTTTAACCGTGGGGGTGCGCCCGAATATTTATAATGGGAATTCATTTCTTTCTACGCGCGCGCGCGCGTGTGTTAGGGTTTTTATTTTAGATGTTTCTTTTTTTTTTTTGGTATGGTTGAATTAGGAAATTGGATGAATAATGGAATTCAATTTCTCAGGGTGAATATTGAAATAATATTTTTTATTCTAAAATTCTAGTTTATGATTTTTATTTCATTTCTTTTGTTGGATTGGGAATTGGAATATTAATATGAAGTGAAAAAATATTTTTAGGAAATAAGGCAAATTGAACACACGCATATATTTATTATTTCCGATCTAATTTTAATTGCGATTATTTTTTCTTCAAAAATTCTGTCCTTCTTCTAATTTTATTTCAAAAACTCATTTAGAGATCGGTTGAACTATAAGGTCCATATACGAAAAAAAATGTACAATGAATAGTGTGGGGTTCTATAAAATTGGATCTCCATATTAAGGTCATAAATCATTATGCATCTCACAGGATTTTTTTTTTATAACGAAAGAATCTGCAGCCAAATATATATGTGCACTGAGTAAAAATACATTCTCGTATAATAATTTGCAAATCATACCAAAAACAAAAACTACACTAGATTAACCATGTTTGACAAACTCCATCTAACGACCGTTGACGATAAATTTGAACCTGAATCATAAAATTTAGAGACTACATCGGGGATGCCCTAATAGTCATATATAATCATGCATAAATTAAGACTTCGAGAAAGGGTAATTTATTAGAAGAATTAAAAAAATAAAATGATCTTAATTTGTTTTTTTATGAAAAAATTAAGAGATAAATTTTCATGACTGTTAAAAAAAAAAAGGAAAACCCAATAATGATCTAACTGTAAAATTTTGGAGGGTAAATTTGTCCAGAAAATAAAAATTTCAGTTAACAGAGGAAGTAAATGAAGGTGTAATTAGCACACGGAGTGTAGTAATTAATGTAAAATGTGACAGAAGAAGAGGGTTAGTGAATTTAATCCTATTATTAATGTTACTCTCTTGTGTTTCGAGCCATCACCGCCAGAGAATAATTTAAGCACCAAATCATATGCATTAATCCTTAACCCTAAAAAAAAAATTAACTTCCCACTTACATCAAATCAATAATCAGTTCAAATTGCAATTAAATTAAATTTATTATATTTGTATTAATTCCAAGAAAACCCCATTATTGAAAGCGTGACAGCAAAAAAGCTACTGGACAGTAATTGCAATCGGCTATTTCCAAGAAAAGGTGAGTTTACATATTTAACTCACAATTTATAGTCATGTCTCTATATTTTCGTAATAATTAAAAAAAAAAAACAATTAAATAAAATTACCTCACTTATTTTTATTTATGTTAATTAGTTCATCCGTGTATCTTTTAAGGGGCTATTTGCCAAACACCTCCTATCGAAATTTTATTTCTTGATAAATCATTTATTTGTAAATGCTATTTGACATAAATTCAATGGGCTTAAAAAACCATATATGCCCCCACTAATTAATATAATTATTAAAATAAAAAATACGGTAAATTAATATCAAATCTCTCCCAAATCAAGTTACAGAAAATAACCCCCCCCCCATATCACGATAGAAATCCACTCCGGCATAGCCCCTTGTCCCTTGTTTTCAGAATTCGCCTTCAAACAATTGATATTTCTTCGATTTGTTAACACTAACATAGCTTATTAATGTAATTTATTCTTTAATTTAGTCGAAACTATGGTGGTAAATTACACAAACATGTGTAGACGGATTAACCACAAAAACCCAAAAAGATAAGTCTACCGATCTTCTTCCTTTGAAGATTTTTGCAGTGTGATTTTGCAGTGTGGTTTTTGCAGAGTGGTTTTGCAGAGTGGTTTTTGCAGCGTGGTTTACTAGTATTATTTTTTTGTTGAATTCAAGTGTTTTGTTTTTTGTATATTGTGTAAAAATATTCTGCAAATGTTGCGTTGTGTTGTGTAGTTTTTTATGTATCTGGTATAAAAAAAAGGACGAATAAAAAAAAACATGTAAATCTGAATATCACTCTGTATATTTACGAAAACCACTCTATATATTTTCGAAATCCACTCTGTATATTTTTCAATCTGGATGCGGTCACGGCCGAATCCGGATGCGGCCACGGCCGAATCCGGATCTTGTGCCTTCCGACCACCACTCTGCTACCAACCCCAGCGGCTGTGATTTTTATTTTTTATTTTTGAGTAAGAGGGGGTGATTATTATACGCAATAAATTTAGGGTTGAATAAATAATTAAAAGGTATAATGGTAAAACTTAATTTTTTTTAATTAATAAAAAATATTTTAGATTTATCATAAAATTGAGAATTATTTTTGGACCTAATGTAACTGGACTTGTCTAATGGGGGGCTTTTGTGAAATAATCCCATCTTTTAATTAGTTTTGAACAAATTTGCCTTAACAAAATAAATGAGTTGAATCAACCGATTGAACGATCAATTCTATATTATCTCTTTCGATTCAACTGATTTATATCATATAAGTAAAATCAAATTGAGATGATGTTGGTAAATGAATATTTTGCTTTGATTTATAAGAATAGCTGCAACCCAAAAGTATCAAAATATGTTAACAAATTATATTTTCATATTTACTATTTTTTAAAATTTATTTAAATGCATTTGTAGGTATTAAAGATTTGTTCATAAAAAAAAAAAAAAATTAAATTGATCTATATATTTAGTTGCTAATAGTGATTTCTATTCTTAAATATGTAAATAGTGATTAAAGATTTTGGATTAACCATTTAATAACTCGGTTGGAGTTGTTCTAGTCTCCTAAACATAAAAATTGAGTTATCAAACATTCATTTGATGTTCGAGATAATATTTCATTTAAAATTCATCTACTTCAATCTTAGTTATCAAATGAATTAACAATTAGAAGTCTACGGGTGGTTTTATTTATAATTGTCACATGTCAACTTGCAATCAGATGTTTAAGGGGTTACATTTTGATAACTCAATTTCCATCAATTATATTTAAATCTCAAAAGGTTAATTATCAAAATAGAACCTTGATTTGATCACTCCGTTGGAGTAAAAAAAATCTATTTTTTTTAATAAAGAAAACCACAGACAACCATATATGTGTATTGAGTAAATTTACAATTTCGTATAATAATTTCAAACTATGCAGCTCATGTTTACTTGCTACATCCGCTGACCGTCGTTGCGGGAAAAAAGAATAAAAAGAATCAAATGTTGCGTCTCCAAATATTTTTATATCTTGAAAAAAAAAAATTAAAACTACAAAATATATATAATATAATATCCAATATTTTATGTACTTGGCAAAAAAATTCTCCTTTTCAAAGGGTCAACGTCAAAAGGTCTCAATCGAACATGAAATTATAAAAAGAGTCGCGATTTTCGGGCTACCAAGATTGGATGTAGATTTTAGTTTATTTTATTATTATTTATTTTCAAGATTAAAAAATGAAAAAAAAAATAAAAAAAAAGTTGAAACTTAATCTGTATATAATTTCTGAGGAATGATTACTCTGGCGGCGCTCAGATTTTGTCTCTCTCACTTTGGTGTACTGTAAAAACTGTTTGTTTTTATTTACTTTTTTTCCATTTAGAAAGTTTTTTGGGTTATATATAATTTTTCTCTTTTTTTGCTGCAGGTAGTTTCTACTTTCTTGCTTTACTTATAATGTTACATATAAATGTGTATTTATGTGTATGTATTATAAAAATATTTTATTTAGGGCTTAGGGGCATGGCAGTAATTAATGGTCCGAAAACCAAAGGGTTTTCACATGGCTTTGTCTCAAGTATATATATAGCTAGGCTTAATTACAGTAGGCTTTGTTTAAGGGTTGGAATTGCAGATTTATGTTTACTTACCCTAAAGTCAGAAAAAGAAGAATACTTGTCTACACTAATTATCTTTTGAAATAAGGGTTTTTTTTTTTTTTTAAGATAATAAATAGTTAGAAAGGAATTGTTGTAATTACTCAAATAAGAGGGGTTTTTTTTCGTAATTTGCCGTTTTCTTTTAGTTGTTTTAGTTATATCAATCATATTTTGTGAGTTCTTAATTGTACTTAACTTGTACTTGATTTTAATCCACCACCAACTTACATATAATTTGAGAAATTTGTTATTGAAAAAAAATAAAAAAATTAGATAATAATAATAATAATAATGGAGATTTGATTAATAACAATAAACAATAAAGGAGTAGTATTTATGATGAGACAATAAAGTAGAGGCTAAAATTAAATAATTAAAATTAGTGGTGCAGAGTATAAATTATGACGGTAGGCCATATCTTCAGGGGAACAATAAAGCCCAACTAGATTTTAACGACAAGTAGAAGATCCTGTGAGATGATGTTATATTCAATGTAAAAATCTGCTTTGTTTTCTTACACTTTTTCCTCTTTTTTATTTATTTATTTATTTATTTATTTATTATTATTATTATTATGTACGGCGTATATCTGCTTTGAAGGTTACATCGGGTGAATTTTTCGTTGATCTATACACGCTAATATGGATGTGTGTGTGTTTGTGTTCTTATGAATAGTAAATATCTACCGGCCGGTGCATTTCACTCAATGTAGCATAGAATAAACCTACAATAACGTCTCGTTTGGTTGGAGAGATTAACTATTGTTAACTAAATAATTAGATATTGTTTGATGTATTGTATCCCAAATAAATTTCCGTGTCGACCGGCAAATATTGTGTTATTATGCCGTATCTTGCCTTCTAGCATGTTTACTATTGGATCTTCCAGGATCCAATAATATAATTGAATTTTATATACTATTATTTATTTTATCATGCCTAATTTTATCCTGTTAACCAAACAAGACCTGAGTTTATATATGACAATAAATTGTATTATATTTAGATACTAATTACCCAAGGGTAAAATTGAATTAACGAAAGGTTAAAAAAATGTGCAGCCTTATAATTCTGGAAGTAGCAGTTTTGTATAATCTAAGAAAACAAAAGAACAGAATTATGGGAAGTGGCAGAGATTTATTCAGAAATGGATCCATCAAAAGATTTCTTT